TCAAAGAAAAAACAAGAAAATCCAGTTACCTCATGAAAAACTACCTTTGGGACAACCATGACCAGGATGACTGAGAATCTCTATAGATTTCCAGAAGTGAAGAGAGTACTGAGTCCTGTGGAACCCCACAAAACAGTGGACGAGGACTGGACCTCTTGCTTATCAACACAAACTGAGAGCGACCACAGAGGAAAAAAATGAACCAGGATAACACAGAGCCCCCCACTTCCACACCTGAAGCCACTCCAGAAGGATATCATGGTTGAGGGTATCAAAGGCCGCTGAGAGGTCAAATAGAGCAAGGATGTATGTACTATGCCCTCCCCCTCTCCCCAAAGTTCATCAAAAAGTGAGACTGATGCCATTGCCATCCCAAATCCATTTCACCCAGTAAACTCTGGAGCAATATATAAATTATGATCTGCTTATTTCTTGCTTTATTATTTTTTGTATGCCCAAATAAGTAAACTAGTTGATTAAACTGATTTCAGTAATCAATCAAGATTCACTTTGATTTTCTATGCATGTGCTCAAAGGAAGCCTTGCTATCAGCTGGTATTAGGCTGCTTTTGGTTTACTGCTATTCCAGAACAGCACATAGAACAAGCAGTTATGCTTTAGTCTGTTTCCTGATGCACACATCTTCACGGAGTCTTTCCTCACTCCATCTATTTCATTGTGTCTAAGTAAATCGCCCTGGAATTAAATGAATCTAATAAGAGATCAGAGTTAGGCTTGGCTACCACATGTCTAGGAATGGTATTTTTCATAGTCCTTTTTCTCAAATTGCAAGAAAGCTTTTTGCCTGAATATTCTTGGTTACCAATTTTTCCTGAAGAAATTCTTGTTTTCCACCCACAAAACAGGATTTGCATTATGTTATGGTATGTGTACAGTTTACAAAAACTGTTTAAAATATGCCATTTTGATCTGATCCTCAAGACACATATTGCATTAAAGATGAGCCATTAGAATCTCAATAATAACAGTAAGAAACTTATTTATATGGACAGTAGCCTTTTTCTACTCTCTCTGCTCTGTTTCAATGATAATCTTATTATTTGAACACAATAGAACTAATTTCTCTCCACTGATTATTGTTCCAACTTTTCTAAAAATTGGATTACTCTTAACCATGTATATTTCACAAGATGATATACAAAGAGTATTTTGTACTGCAGAAATTATGCCTTGATTCTACCTATGCTGAGATAGTGCCAAGACTTTGAATACTTGTATAGGTGGAAAGTAATCATGATGTCTACTGTTTTGAGAATTGCAAACTCTAGGCATTTTCATCCTGTACTTTTCTAGTTTGTTTTGTTCATGGAATTAACATGAAGTTACTAAATTATCTTCCTAAAAGTTTCTATGATGTAGTATCCCTTCCCTTTCAAATATATTTACTAAAGAATCAATGCAGTCATCCTTGAAGAATCCCCTATAAAGAATGCTATTTCTCTGCTAATATGTTCCTTGCTAGGCTTTATTTATTTAGGTCTGTCATTGGTCTATCTGAAGATCTCATTTTCTAAAATTAATTTTTCCTTGATCTTCTTGATACCTGGATATATTCTCAAAACTCATCCAGGCAAACATAAAATCACTGAATTGAAATGCGCCATGGAGATCTAGCCCAATATACCCTCTGTGGATACTTCTTACACATACTTATCCAGTATCATCATCTCCATTTATACATTTTATTATACCATAATTCTCAGGTGACGGGGCACACCCATTTTAAAAGCCTTTGACTCTACACTGAGACCATATCAAATCTCTGATACTCCATTTGCACTACACATTCACCAACATTTTCTTTCTGGGTCACTACCTCTGTTCATTGTATTACCATCTTTCCATTTCTCTGAAAGACTATGTAATCACTGCCCCTTGAATCTTTTCCTCCACTGTATTATCCTCCCCAGTTGCATTTCCCATCTGTTGTCCTATTTTTTTTTTCTCATTTCTTTCTATTTGCTGCCACATTCTCATTAATACCTCCATTCTTCCTCAATTTATGTTTTCCTTATTAATGCAACATTTTGCAGACATGGAACAGTTATAGGGCTGAACAGGGCCATGAGGGGGGGGTTCCCCTCGTGGATATGTGCCCACCAGGTTTCCGAGCATTCCATCAGCCGAGAGCTCAGGGCAGGGGTGGGGGGGTGGCGGTTATTATAAAGGAAAGTCTTGATCCGAGGGAGACCACTGTTCCACAGATAGCCGGATGTGAGTCCCCTTTTGTGAGATGGGGTCGTGGAGTACAGATGGGCTTGTTGATCACGTACCTGGCTCCCTGCCGCGTGGCAACGGCCCTGCTTGAGCTGCTCAACGTCATAGCTGAGGTGGCGGTTGGTACCCCCAGACTTCTAGTCATGGGGGATTTCAACCTGCCATCTGTCGGCGAAACGTCTGAGGTGGCTCGGGAGTTCATGGCTTCCATGACGGCCATGGACCTTACTCAGTTAATTCATGACCCCACTCACATGGGTGGACACACTCTGGACTTAGTTTTTGTCTCTGGTCAGTGGTCGAGTGGCCTTGATACAGGGGATATAGTCATCGAACCCTTGTCATGGTCTGACCACTCGCTCCTTCGACTGGACTTTCTAACCGCTGCACCCCGCCGCAGGGAGGCGGGACCGACCAGGTGGTTCCGCCCCAGGCGCCTGATGGACCCTGATAGGTTCCAGATGGAGCTTGGGCCATTTCCTGAGACTATGACTCACGACTCGGCTGAGGACCTGGTGGCCGCCTGGGATAGTGCGGCTGCCGGGGCCTTGGACCGTGTCGTGCCTTTGCGGCCTCTGACCCGGTACCGAACTCACCTAGCTCCTTGGTTCTCCGAGGAGCTTAGGGAGATGAAGTGCCGGAAAAGACGCCTGGAGAGTAGTTGGAGGACCAGCCGCTCCGAATCCGACCGAACACTGGTGAGGTCTCATATTAAGACCTACCTAGTGGCAATAAAAGCGGCAAAATCTAGCTATTTTGCCGCTCTTATCGCGTCATCAGATAATCGCCCGGCCGCCCTGTTTAGGGTGACCCGCTCCCTCCTCCATCTGGAAGCGCGGGATGACCCCTTGCAGGGCCGAGCTGAGGACTTTGTGCAGTATCTGTATGACAAAATCGCTCAGATTCGGGAAGGGCTGGCCTCTGACTGGGTATGTCCGGATGGGATGACTGAGGCAGGTCTTGAGAGTGTTATCTGGGGGGAGTTCGATCCTGTGGCTCCCGAGGACATGGACAGGGTCCTGGGACGGCTGAATGCGACCACATGTTTATTGGACCCGTGTCCCTCCTGGTTGGTACTGGCTTCCCAGGAGGTGACACGAGGCTGGCTCCAGAAGATTGTTAACGCTTCTTTGAGTGAGGGGGTCCTGCCGGCCGCTTTGAAAGAAGCGGTTGTGAGGCCCCTCCTCAAGAAGCCCTCTCTGGATCCGGCTGTTTTGGCTAACTATCGTCCAGTCTCCAACCTTCGCTTTGTTGCGAAGGTTGTTGAGAGTGTGGTAGCACAACAGCTTCCCCGGTACCTGGATGAAACTGTCTATCTAGACCCGCTCCAGTCCGGCTTCCGACCTGGGCACAGCACGGAAACGGCATTGGTCGCGTTGGTGGATGATCTCTGGAGGGCTCGGGATAGGGGTTGCTCCTCTATCCTGGTCCTGTTAGACCTCTCAGCGGCTTTTGATACCATCGACCATGGTATCATGTTGCACCGGTTGGCGGGGTTGGGGGTGGGGGGCACCGTTCTGCGGTGGTTCTCCTCCTACCTCTCTGACCGGTCGCAATCTGTGTTGACGGGGGGGCAGCGGTCGACCCCGAGGCACCTTGCTTGTGGGGTGCCACAAGGGTCGGTCCTCTCGCCCCTTCTGTTCAACATTTATGTAAAGCCACTGGGTGAGATCATCCGTGGCTTCGGGGTGGAGTTCCATCAGTACGCTGATGACACCCAGCTGTACATCTCCACCCCAGGCCACCCCAACGATGCCCTTGAAGTGATGTCCCAGTGCCTGGAGGCCGTGCGGGCCTGGATGGGGAGAAACAGGCTCTGACTCAACCCCTCCAAGACCGAGTGGCTGTGGCTTCCAGCGTCCCGATATAGCCAGCTGACGCCATCGCTGGCTATTGGGGGCGAATCACTCGCCCCCACGGAGAGGGCTCGCAACTTGGGCGTCCTCCTGGACGCACGGCTGTCTTTAGAAGACCATTTGACGGCCGTGGCCAGGGGGGCTTTTTATCAGGTTCGCCTGATACGCCAGTTGCGCCCCTTTCTAGATCGGGACTCTCTACGCACAGTCACTCAGGCACTAGTCACTTCCCGCCTGGACTACTGCAACGCTCTCTACATGGGGCTCCCCCTGGGGTGCACCCGGAGGCTCCAGCTGGTCCAGAATGCAGCCGCGCGGGGGATTATGGGGGCGACGAGGCGCTCCCATGTGACACCTCTCCTGCGCGAGCTGCACTGGCTCCCGGTAGTCTTCCGGGTGCGCTTCAAGGTGTTGGTGACCACCTTTAAAGCGCTCCATGGCTTAGGGCCGGGGTACTTACGAGACCGCCTACTGCCACCAATAGCCTCCCACCGGCCAGTACGCTCGCACAGAGTGGGCCTCCTCAGGGTGCCGTCCGCCAGACAATGTCGGCTGGCGACCCCCAGGGGGAGAGCCTTCTCTGTGGCGGCACCCGCCCTCTGGAACGACCTACCCCCGGAGTTACGTATAATAACAGACCTCCGGATTTTTCGTCGGGCCCTGAAAACTTATTTATTTCAACTAGCTGGGCTGGCTTGAGCTAAATTTTAAATTGGTTTTAAATTGGGTTGTTTTAATTTACGGCCAGAATATCTAATTATTTTAATACTGTTTTTTAAATTTTGTATGTTTTGTTTTTACTTAGGCTGTGCACCGCCCTGAGTCCTATTTGGAGAAGGGCGGTATAGAAATTTAAACAAATAAATAAATAAAGAAAGAAAGAAAGAAAGAAAGAACTGACATCCATTCATATAACAATGGATAGATTTTCATTTTTTACAAGGACTGAGGTTCATCAGCCTGAAGTTCAGGTGCAAAATATCAGATCTAGAAGATAAAGAGATATAAAGAATTAAGGGACAATATTTTCTAAATTCTTGAATAAATGACCACTAAGAATTGCAATTTTGCCATTTAGTTTAGGAGGAAAAGAACCATTTTGTTATTTTTTTTACTGTTAGTTGAGTCTTAAGAATGTTTCTTGCAATATTTCCTATTAGTGAAAAAGCATACTTCTCTATCAGCTCTACAATATTATATATGTAATTGCTTTAGAATAAGTAAAACCGAATATAATGATGATATTATCCATTCAGCTGTGTCCGACTCTTGACAATTCTATGAGCCGGGTCTCTCTATGCCTTCCAATCTTACACTACTTCTTTGAGTTGTTCTATGCTCTGGCTGGTGTCCACTTTGATGGTGTCCAGTCATTGTGTTCTTTGGCAGGTTGGTTTCCTTTTACTACTAACTCTTCTGAGCATAATTGCTTTCTCCAGTAAATTCTCCCACAGGATATGGCAAAAATAATTGAGATGCAGTTTTGTGATTTTTGCCTTCAAATTACATGTCTGGTGTTGTGTGCTCCAGTACTTGCTTGCTAGTCACTTCTGCTGTCCAAGGAATATGCAGGGGCATTTTCCAGCACCACAGCTCAAACGAGTTGATTTTCTTCTAAAACTGAAAACTGAACATAGTGTCCAGATTAGAGATTAAACATGAATAGAATTATACAAAAATGCATCACTCACAATGAACCATGCAAACCAATTTTCACTGAAATTGAAGTATGCAAATATATTAAGCATTCAAATTTCACTAATCACAATGGAATTAGATAGCAATTAGAGTACTTGGTAACAAACAGAGTGTTATCTAACTTCATTTTCTAGTACCAGAGGTGCTTATAAGTAGCAAATATCTTCTAAGGTGGGGGTCCCCAAATCATGGACTGCAGTACTGTTTTGTGGCATCTTCGGAACCAGGCTGTACAAGTGGCAGCCGAGCATGCAAAGCTTAATTTGCACATGTGCGGGAGGTAGGTTGCGTGCAGAAAACCACCACCCCCTCGCCACTACTGCTACTGCTGGAGCCAGAAAGGTTGGGGACCACTGTTCTAAGGTATCTTGGATACTAATATCTCTACTGTCAATAATTTCAGTATACCCCTTCCATCTTTATTTGTATTGAAATCGAGTATCTCTTCATTTAGCACAGCTATTTGAGGTTCAAACTTCCAACAAGTTTGCAGATATTTTGAAGATTTGCCTTGCTTTTTCATGTGTTTCCATCTTTATTGTCTTTACAAATGTAATATTTGTTGTTGTCTCTTTTATCAGCTATCTGAAATTCTTTGTTAAATTCCTTCCTTAGATCTTTGTCTTTCTTGTTTTTGACATTTCTTTTCAACAATTTCCATCATTTTGTTCTGATATCCAGTTTTATTACTTCTGTTTCTTGTTCTCTGGGTGCCTCTTTTCACATTTATTCTTAATAACTTTTATGATTTCCTTCCACAGTTCCTCAGATTCCCTATCAATGAGGTTAAGGAATTCAAAACAATTCCTGATGTTCTGTTTGATAAATGTGGGTATATGCTCAAGATCGTATCATGAAAATTGGTTGGCTTTCTTCCTCTTTAGTTAAATTTGGGACTTGCCCATGAGCAGTCTGTGATATAGTTCCACAGTAAGCCCCTGGCCATATCTTTGCCATTATAACTGATGTTTACCACCTTCTTGTAACAGTATCTTGTAACTATCTTATTTCTGTGTACTCTATCTGGTAAAGTCCATGTGTATAGGCATTGTATAGGCATTTTATAGGCAGTTGTGACCCATTGTATAGGCATTGTATTTTTCCTTAATATTTCCAATTCAGCATTCCAGTCAGCCCCCAAGCAGTATATTCTACTTGCATGTTCTGTTGGATTTCAAACTGAACTTCACGATAAAATTAATCAACCATCTGTTCTTCTGCATGAGTGATAGGAACATAAACTTGAATGACTGTTATACTGAATGACTGACTGCGAAATCCGATTGATATTATTTGGGCATTGACTACATTCTGCCCATGTACTTTATTTGCTATATCTTTCCTGACCCAGAAAGCAATGCCATTCCTTCTTTATTTTTCATGTTCTGAGTAATTAACAGTATGATCTTCTGACCGGAAGTCAGAAGTGTCCAATTCTACTCCATTTCACTTAGCTGATGCCTAAGATGTCGATATGTAATAATTTCATTTCATGCTTCACTATGTTGAGCTTTCCCAGTTCTATGTTCATGCTGAAATTCCATTTTGTAACTTTGGATTCTTTTTCTGCATAGCAACATCAACAACAAGACACCCCAAAGACTTTAGCCTAGCTACTTCATAAACACCATTAGTATTCTGAGTGTCATTTAATCAGAGAGTTCCATCATCTGGCATTATTCACCAATATTCACATTGTATATCCAATCCATGTGGTTTTCTTGGTAAAACACAGGATTAGTTTATTATTATCTTCTCTGGTGCAGCATGAAACATTTTTCTATTGTCACTACAATAAAATATGTATGTATATATTTATTTTATTTATTTATGTATTCAATTTATATGTCATGCATTTTGACTAGAGGCAAATCTAGCTGGTTTACAGCAAAAGAAAAAGAAAACAAACTATTAAGATAGTAAATATTAACATTAAAATTAACAAAGAAGGCAAAGAAGGCAGCAAGATACACATGGGGTAGAGATAGAATCTTCTCTCAGTCCACTAACCACCTCCAATATGACATGCTCCCATGGGAGTCCCAAGCCAATTGGCAGAGCCAAGGTTTTAAGCCCTCATGGAAGGCCAAGAGTGGGTGCAGATATTCTGCTTCTTGAATCTTCCTAAATTGCTGCTGTCCATTTGACGTGCCTGCTTGCTTTAGGTGGGGCAGCAAAGCAATGACCTTTCTAGGATTAGATATACAGTAAGTGTTTTTTAACTTATCCTTTCCAAGAACATCCTTCCTTCTGCAATGAAGCAACACAGCTGGAGTTTTGGGGATGCAATTGCTTAAAGACAAAGTATACAAACTGACTTAAAATGCATATTTACTTGCCACTTTTTCCAAAAGTTTATGATTCAAAATAAAAATATTATAACATGCATGTAAATGCACATCATTTTTTTCTAATATTAATCATAATCATTAGTTTATTTGTCAAGCATATATAAGATAACAGGTAAAACTATAAACATAATTTGAATACATGAAAAGAGTAAGTAAAAAGGAATATTAGGACAGGGACGGTAGCACACTGGTGCACTTACGTATATTCCTAATATGAGCTGCAAGTACACAGCTGCAACAGTGTATCTAAAATAATTTTCACCCCTAAAACTCATAATCAGTTCACATAAAACACAAAGGATATGATTTATGAACAGCTGTTTTATAAAAGTGGTTCACGGCTTAATGTCTCAGCCAATTGTAGTATACTCAATAAACTATGATTAAAACAAGTAATCATTTGGCACCATACCAAAACTTACCCCAAACTCCAGATTAAACAATTTTGCATGTCAAAACAGAAGATAGATTTATCTTGGAAGCATTCATTCTTTTAAAAATTCATGATTTTAAAAAGAATTAAATCCGTCAAAAAATTATCCAGAGGAACGTATGCACGTTTAACATTTATAAGGCTTACCAAATCAAGGTTCAATCCTTTCCATCTGGTATCTTTTGCCCAGCAAGTTCCTGTTTTTAGTAAGTACTTCACACCCTATGCTCTTCGTAAGAAGATTCCTAATTTCCAAATTGTAATGCTGTGTGTGACTTTGAGGCAGATTTAGGTGATAGATGGCCTCTTCTTTCGGCAACCTGGTAATAATTACAAAAAGGAGGGAACCTGTGCCTTACGTTAAAAACCAAGCCACACATTTCTGAGAGGCATTTTTAAAAAGCACATTTAGCACATTGGGAACCAGTTCGCTGCTGGCAAAAAACCCAGCAGCGCTCGGGACACTTTACCTGCAATGAAATTGCGCCTCCACTTGAAGGTCCGGAGGGAGGCAGGAACGGCGACCGGGAAAGCCGAGAGAAACTCTAGCTGGGACCCAGCCCGTGTCGAACGTCTCCATGGCGACCGCTAGGAGACCGCCATGGCGACGGAGGAGCGTGAAGGAACCGCTGCGGGTAAGGACGGGGGATTAGAGAGCAGCTCCACCGTTTCCTCTCTAATTTGTACCTCCAGCCCGCTATCTCCTACACTTTTTAAAAAAAAAGGCTTTTTTTTTTTAATTGTAGGAGAGTTAGGTTACATCTTTTTCCTGGCCTATCCCCTCATCTTCAAGTTTATTTATGTTTAGTAGGACTTTCCTCAGTCTCCCAGTACAGTCCCGGTTTTCTTTCCCTTCTTTCCTCACACGACTCCTCGGGACAAAACGTAGCCATGTTCCTCCATCCCTTGCGGGGCTAGAGATAAAATTCTGCACTTCAAAACGCCTTTTTGTTATCAACGATAGAGAATTCTAGCAATGCGAGCCTTTTCCAACTTAATACAGGCTTCGTTCCTGTTTTAAAGCATTCATTGATGTTGGATTATTTGGTTTGCTGCATACTTTGAGAACTGGGAGTGCTGCCCTTAAGATAGTCCCTTAAGATAGTCCAGAGCAACTACTTTATTAATTCAGCCTAAAATGGATACATAAAATATGACATTTAACCACTGCTCCCCCCAAAAACATTGGTACCTCGACTGTTATTAAAAATCATGTGTGATTCACAATCATTCATCTTTAAAGAACCAAAAAGCTGGTCTTGTTACTGTGACTGTGTCCTGTAGTTTATGTTGAATCAAACAAGACTATATTTTAGTGTAAAATGTAGACTCTGGATATTTTATGCTTCAATGTGTCATGAAAACAGCAAAATGTGATATTTTAGTGAACCATGTTTATGTGAATAATGGGTAGGCTTATTTTGCAAACATAGGCAGTATTTTAACATTCTTAGGGCAACCAAGATAAATATAGCTCTCCCAAATCCAAACAAATTGGATAAAGAAAGTGATAAAATTTGAAATGTGTATTTACTTAAAATGTATCAGAAAAGAAAGATTTAACAGATTTATTCACAAATGCAACATTTAAGTATACAAATCCAGGCATGTCTTTATGTCTTTACAAATCAGGGCATGTTGACCATAGTATTTGTAAATTATAGGATAGGAATGTGTTTACAAGCTTTGTTGACATTTTTAGAAAATTTATAGATCTTAAAGACCTTTTTCAAATGTTTGCCCCTGGCCAGTGACTTCATACCCATCCTGAATATTCATTATAAAGAGTAGCAATATATAAAAGACATTTGTTTAAATGAACAGGATAACTCTTTATCTGTATACTTTATATGTATTAAAAAGAAAAAAATAGTCTGTGGAGAAATATTGTTACTGTACTGGACCAATGCAGAAAACTTCCACAACTTATCAATTTATGCATATCCTGTTTTCTTATTGAGCACTACTAATAGAAAGATAAATTATAATAAAAAATTAAATGCTGAGAGTCATTTAAAATTGTAATTATAGCTTTTTATCCCTCATAAAACAATACAGTATCTTGATTCTTCATCACTTTTGTCATTTTCTTGTGGATGACCTCCAGTTTAACAATGTCCTTACTAAAATGAAGCATAAACAAGACATGATTTTCAGAGACATGATTTTCTATGTTGAACACCATCGTCTAGTCCTTGACTTACAACAGTTTATTTAGGATCGTTTAAAGTTACAATGGCACTGAAAAAAGTGACTTACAGTATGACCATTTTTCACAGTTACAACCTTTGTAGCATTCCCCAAGATCGTGTCATCAAAATTCAGATGCTTGGCAACTGATTCATGCTTATGACCATTGCTGTATTCCAAGGTCATTTGATTATCTTTTGCAGCCTTTTACAGGCAAAGTCAATGGGGAAGCCCGATTCACTTAACTAAATTACTAACCTATCAGCTACAGTGATTCACTTAACAACTGTGGCAAGAAAGGTCTTAAATGGGGCAAAACTCACTTAACAAATGTCTCACTTAACAACAGAAATTTTGGGCTCCAAATTGTGGTCATAAGTCGAGGACTACCTGTATACACACTGGATACTATGCTCCTGTTACAATAGCCTAATATTATACCTTTATAAACAGCCACATCACACTTCTGATACAGATAATAAGACAGAAGGTGTTACTATTTATTAATAGTATTAATAGTATTATCTATATAATATATATAATCTATATAATACTATATAGTATAGTATATATAGTATTATATATACTATAATACTATATAGTATTATATATATATTATCTATGTAATACTATATAGTATTATAGTAATATTCTATAGTAATACTATATAGTATATAATGTACTATATTATATACCTTGTCTAGTAAAATATGATAGGCTACTATCATATTGTTTGCTAAAATCAAAATATGTTTTTAATATTCCGGTAATGTATAAACTATAGGTAGTCCACAATTTATGACCACAATTGAACTCAAAATTTCTGTTGCTAACCAAGATAGTTGTTAAGTGAGTTGTGCCCTATTTTATGACATTTTTGCCCCAGTTAAGCGAATCTGGCTTCCATTGATTTTGCTTCAGGGGCAGGTTCCAAATCCCGTCACTACTAGTTCGCTCATGCATGCTCACGTGCAGCGCTTCTGCGCATGCACAGAAGCGTCCAGGTAAGTGGGCAGAGCCTCCCGCTGCCGCCGCTACCAGTTCACCTGATCCGGAGTGAACTGGTAGCAACCCACCACTGCTTTGCTTGTCTGAAACTAGCTGAGAAGGTTATAAATGGTGATCACATAACCCCAGGACAGTGTGATTGTTATAAATAAACACCAGTTGCCAAGCACCCAAATTTTAATCATGGGACTATGGGGATGTTACAATGGTTGTAACTGTAAAAGCCAGCCTTAAGTCACTTTTTTCAGTGCTGTTGTAATTTCAAATTGTCACTAAACAAATAGTTGTGAGTTAAGGACTACCTGTAATATCCTTGTTCCAAAAAGATAATGCATGCCCTTGCATGTTTTATTCCAGATAACCTCCTACTAGTGTAGTAATAATATGTTCCTTTCTTGAGATGTTGAACTCAGTGCCTTAATACATTGCACAATAACAGTCAACATATTCTAATAATTACTCTTTAGGGATTTTTAATCTATCTAAGGCATTGCAAGGTTAAAGAGTCCTGTGGAATCTATTATGTTATCATATATCATTTATTTTCTTTCATATACATCTCTCTGTGTGTGTAATTATACTAACACACATGCAAATATTCCACTAAGTCTGTCATAATAGTATACAATAAGAGGAAAAAAATTAATAAAGAACTTATTCAACTGTTCTGCAACCTCCTTATCCTCTTTGTTACTTTCTTTAATTTCCTTATTCCATTACTTCCTGGCAGATTTCCTCCTCCTTATGGTTTTATTGTCAGTTTAATTTTGTTCTGTTATGTTATTCAAAAATCTCTTTTTGCATCACATTTGTTTTTAGCAGGTTTTAGAAACTTAAAAAACCCCTTTTTAGTAATAGTAATGCTCTCACAATGTGAGTTGATTTGGTGCTTGATTCTTTTAAAGTATATGAAAGCTGTGTTTTCTCTTTGACTCACTGGGTTTGCAAACATTTAAAGCCATCTATTATCTATAACTCTTGCCTCTCCTGGTCTTCTAGATTTAGGACAGCTATTATTCTTCCCTAACCTTAAAACTAACTGCGTTGTTCCTAATGCTTTTTTTAAATTATTTTCTAATTATTAACAAAATAAATTATTAACAAAAGAAAAGATAAAAGAGCAAAACACAATGATAATAGTGATGGAAATAGATATGTTGACAAAAAGAAGACAAAACGGAACACATAAAAATGCTTTAACAAAAAAGTGAAGAAAGGCAACAAAGGAACAAAAACATAATATGATGTCATTATAATAAAGAGATACAATTCTATATATACTTGTCTAATGCAAATATTCAAATATGTATTTCCAACCATCTTTTTTTTAAAACCTACTGTATAAATGAGTCCCATATTTCATTATACCTCTATGTCGATAGGCAATCCACTCATAAGTGGCAAATGCAGTCAGGTCTGAACTAGATTACTGTTTATTTCTTTTTGGTGTAGATAAAAGGATTTTTGTTACTTTAGGTAGGATCAACAGTATAAAACAATGACAGAATAAGGTTCCTTGCATTCACCTATTAGTCAACTGGTGGCATCACTAATTGATTGATAGTATTCTCAATATTTCAAAGTCAGCAGAAAAAGATAATCATAAGTCAGGCTTCTATTTGCTTGTGAAGAATTAGGGAACAAAAATATTGTAAAACTGCTTGCTGTTGTATAGGAAATCTCACTATTCACAATGCTGGTGTACTTACCCCCTCCTGATTCACGCTACATTTGTTCATATTCAATATTCATACGTATTCAATAGTGGTTTTGAATAAACCCCAGATATTCTAGAGAGATTTGATTCCCATGTGTATACATATTTATGTAGGTGTGTGGATATACACACATAAACACACTTTTTAGGGTGTCCACTAATTATAGCAAATATGACTTTGTTGGATTTCCTTAGCAATTACATCGTCCTCTGTAACTGTTCCTTTATCCATAAAAATCCTAAACAATCAAGGAGACATCATACATACTTTCATTTAATATTATAGTCACGGTTTCCAATTGGTTCTGTAAATTAAGCAATAGTCTAGAAGTAGCTTATCATTTTAATCCTACACTTCTGCTCTAGGAAGTTCCTTGATAAATTGCTTTAAGATACAATGGGCTGTATCTAGAAATTTAACCTGTTTTTGGTGATCCTACAATAGTTTAATTGAGGAAAACAATCTACTACATTGGTTCTAGGCTCAGTGAAATAAAATAAATTTGGTCGCAATTTACTTGTCCAATTGATCTACCTGGGTTTAGTCCAAATGTGGATCAAATCTCTATCCATCCAGTGTATTTTAAATATCAGACAGATTTCCCACTCCATCCTGAAATACACAATATGGAGTATAGTCATGGTGGGGCTCACAGCTGTGAATATATTTTAGGAATCTCTATGCCAGCAGTTTAATTTAAAACGTGTATGCAAAAACACATTCACACAGTCATGTCAATCTTTTTGTTTTCATGGTAAACAACTTTTTGTAGAACATCACATATAAATTAGAAATAGTATGGCAAAACCCCCAAAAATAGTATAGCAAAAAAGAGACAACATAAATGCAAAGAAAATAAAAAGACCAGAACACATCCTCTCCAGCAGCTAACATCCTGATAAGCAGGGATCAACACCAGATAAACAATCAAGCAGAAAACAATGTCCTAATCAAGGAACTACCAAGGAGAAAGCTATGCACCCAGCAACGCTGGCAGAGCAAGCTACTGTATATAAACAGGTAACAAACCCCTATTTATACATACTGGTGATGTTACCTAGCTGAATAATGAAATGTCTGCAAACAAACAAACAAGCTCAGAGAGTACCTGGGCTCCATAGTTCAGCCCTGAGTAACTTATGTTTTCTTCTATTGGAATTTAGGTACTCAGCCAACAACAATGATTATCAGCCTTCAAGAGTATATGCATACTTACTTACATTCCCAATCTATACATCTCTAGCATTATCACAACTGTTCCTTTATCCATAAACATCCTAAACAATCAGGGAAACATCACACATTATCTTATTCCTTGCTTAATGCCAAACTATTCTCAGAGCATTCAGTTTATTCTGGTACATCCTCTATTTCCATCAAAGGGTGCTTTTATTGCATTCAGCATATGATTAATGCAATGTCGTATTTAACCCTAGCACACCAAGATTGAGGGATAACAAAATAACAGAGTTGGAAGGGACCTTGAAGGTCTTCTAGTCCAACCCCCTGCCTAGGGAGGAAATCCTACACCACTTCAGACAAATGGTTATCCAATATCTTCTTCAAAACTTTCAGTGTTGGAGCATTCACAATTTCTGGAGACCAGTTGTTCCAATAACTAATAATTATAACTGTCAGGAAATTTCTCTTAGTTCTAGGTTGCTTCTCTCCTTGATTAGTTTCCACCCATTGTTTCTTGTCCTGCCCTCAGGTGCTTTGGAGAATAGCTTGACTCCCTCTTCTTTGTGGCAGCCCCTGAGATATTGGAACACTGCTATCATGTCACCCCTAGTCCTTCTTTTCATTAAACTAGACATGCCCAATTCTTGCAACCATTCTTCATAGGGTTTAGCCTCCAGTCCCCTAATCTTCTTTGTTGCTCTTCTCTGCACTCTTTCTAGAGTCTCCACATCTTTTTTACATTGTGGCGACCAAAACTGGATGCAGTATTCCAAGTGTGGCCTTACCAAGGCATTATAAAGTAGTTGACATTCACATCCAGAATTGATGAAAAAGAGAAAATTGGGACAGTGACAGTCAGACTGACAGTGAAAACAGAATGAAGGCAATTGATTACTTCCCACTTATTTATCCACCTGTGAGATATAAGACCCAAATATTTTAATCCTCACAATTCATAAACAAGTCTGGTTCACAAAATCAAAGGTTTATTGGAGATAAAATGAAGAAAAATATAAAGCGCAAACGCGGCCTCTTAGACCCTTCCCAAATGGATTGAGTTCAAAGAGCGCAAAAAGCAGTTTTCAAGCTACACATTTTATACTCCTCTACACAATGCATACCACGCCTAAGAATCCCTCCCAACTCCCCTTTATTATCCTAAGTCATTCTTCAAGTTGTTTTACACTTTAAAGGGTCATCTTGACATTTCCTGCCTAACAACAACTATCTTATCATGTTTACTTTTAACTTCACCTTGGGCGGATGTTCCTTTTTACTAATAATGGTCTTGCCCAAAGTGTTCCTGTCTCCAAGGGAGCATTTAGCAAGTCATAACACATTGTCTCTACTAATTACGATTTGTGTTCAGTTTGAAACAGTAAGAACATCATGGCTTTTTAATACATTAACCACTTTTATAAAAGAGTAACTTATTATTCATTTCCTTCACACCTATATTATGCCTAACAAGCAAGCTAGCTCTGGAAAGCTCAAAATGTTTGCTATGCTGGTTCTAATGAACATTTTACTGCTAATTTTGACAAAAAGTATACTATGATTGATTTTTAATTCCTTGCTTTATAGAATCTGCAGTAGCAGAAATCCAAAAGAAGATCACTGAAGCCTTTGAAGTGTTTGACCATGAATGTAATAAAACTGTGGATGTCAGGTTTGGAAAATTTGTTCTGTTAAGAATTAATAGCCTTAATAATAAAGCAGTGTGGGTTAATAAAGACAACTATTTTAAAGAGAAATGTGAAACATTTTGATTGATTTTAGATTAATTAAGTTAGCCCCAATGTGGTTGGTTGTCTGTGTTGCAGAATGGAAACTTCCCAGAAATCAGGAATCTCAGATCAGAATGGTTTGGCTGAATGCATAAGGGAAGAAGTTAATGTTATGCACAAATCAGAGATTTGGGAAACATCTGTGTTTACCATATAAAAAGCAAATGGAGAAGGGAGGGAAGTTCTGTTCTCTTTGTTATGGAGAAAAAGCCTGAAGTGTGAAATTTTGGGTTTGACAAAGATTAACAGAGGACAAGTTCTAGTTTGGTTTGCTTACTATAGTTACCAGATTTCTGGGTTGTTGTTTTTTTTTATTTGATTTGATTTATATGCCGCCCTTCTCCGGAGACTCAGGGCGGCTTACAATGCGTTAAGCAATAGCCTTCATACTTTTGTATATTTTTATACAAAGTCAGCTTATTGCCCCCACAATCTGGGTCCTCATTTTACCTACCTTAGAAAGGATGGAAGGCTGAGTCAACCTTGAGCCTGGTGAGATTTGAACTTGCAGTAATTGCAGGCAGCTGATGTTAATAACAGTGCTTTAGTCTGCTGTGCTACCAGGGCTCTGTTGAGCTTTTCTTCCTACAGTTGGTTTCTTACAACCCCTTTGTCTTTTTTGCTTTGTTCGTTTTATTGCCACAACCCTCTTCTTTCTTAACCACTATTCACTGTGGCATAGCTTATTGCTCAGCTGGAGATTTTGCTGGGGTTTATTAAGAAAATGAGTTAACCGTTTCAGTTCTGGACTGTTTGTATTTTTGAAAGCCAATTATTGAATGTACCTTTTTTCTTTTGTATTTTAAATACACACACAAACATTCATTCTTTTGTTTGTGACTTACCATGTATTTGGGCCACTATTTTTAGACTCACATCTCCTGTAAAATGAGTGACTTTCAGCAATCCCTTTTCATTCAACAGGAAAGATGATAGCAGCTTAATCCTGCCTTCCCCAACCTGGTGTCCCCTGGATGCATGGATTTTACTCAAATAATTCTCTGAGGTGATCATTACTGAGAATTCTGAGAGTTGAAATTTACATGTCTGGAGGTACCAAGGTAGGGGAAGGCTAACCTACCACAACCATGAATATCAAGATTGAATTAGTCTGTAATAATCTAAGTTTGGGGTAGGTGATTGTCAGGCCCAAGCCTAAATGACACAATGAAATCCAGCCAAGTCCAGTTCTTTATTTACTTACAAATAATGGACAGAATCTTACCAAACTAAAGCTGTAACCTTCTAACCTACTAGATATATCCTTAAAAAAATATAGGGTGTGGCTACTCTGATCCTCTTCTCCCCTCCCCCCTCTTACTCAGGACTGGGCAATCTCTTAATATGCAGTCTTTTAATCTGGGCCTATCTCTGACTGGATTTACTGCTTCCTCTTTGGGAAACCTCTATTTTGCTAAAAGTCCTCTCCACTGATTCTCCAGATACACATACTATCACAGTGATGAGACAAAACTAGAGTAGGCCAGTTAGTGTAAATGCATCTAGAAAGTGAATAACTTTAGGACATTCTCATAATTTGTCAAGACAGGAATTGAAATTCAGTACTGCAGAACTATATTTCAATTAAGTGGACATTCAGTTCATGTTTGAAAATATGAATTAATGAAACTATTTAATTCATACTTTCACTATTATATATTCATAAATTCATGCTTTCACTATTATATATATATATATATAATCACTATTATATATTGGAATGTTTGTTTGGTCACTAGGCCCTTAAAGATCCATCACATTCTTTTGCTCAGGTCCTGTGAATTAACTGTATTTGGGGGCAGAAAGAATAATTGACACTTCTTTGTTAGTACTGGTATATCTGAAAACCAATGCAATTGTTATACATTTTACTAAATCTATAAGCCATCCTACTTCACTAAAGATCTGGAATTCACTAAAGACATGGCAACTATATTCCCTCTATCTATTGCTTTAGTGGTTATGATCTTACGAACTAGGCATACTTGATGGGGAGGCAATTGAATAAAATAAATCAGAATTAGAGATTTGCATTACTTATATATTTAATAACATATGTTCTCCTTTTTCAGAGAGATTGGCACTATCATTAGGTCATTAGGCTGTTGTCCCAATGAGGCGGATCTCCATGATATGCTTGCAGAGGTAGCGTTACATAATTTTAAAGTTCTGTTACTTAAAGATGTTGAGAGTAAATCTGATCTCTTTTCCTAAATCAATAAGGATTAGAAATGCAATATCAAGGAATTTCATTGAGCAAATAAATATTTTGCTTATCTTGTAATAATAGCTAGAGGTCCTATAATAATAGCTAGAGGCTAAAATTATGTTAAATTCATATAGAATAGAGGGACTGCTAGTGTAGTACTAAGCCTGAAGAGTGAAGGTATAGATAAACAGATGTAGGCCACCGTATTTTATTATAGTGCTGGAATTTTCAATATTGGTTAGTATCAAGTTAATATAGCTTCTTTTATACTCTCTTCCATCCTCTAAAACAGAAAATTGTCCGCAAGACAAGTCAGAAATATGATAGAAAAATCATTCATGGCAAAGTCTGTCTCCCAACAGATGGTATAAAAGTCTCCTATGATTTCATGTCTCTTTGAAACATTTGCAATTTGGTTTTGGAAAGCTTCTTCCATATCTTCTGTTTGGATTGCTTTTTGTTTCTAAAACTCAGACGCTTTAAAGCATTGCTGTGTTCATTCATTTTGATCTCTCTGCAGGAATTGATAGTTTTAATGTACAATGCAACTGTTTCTCCTCTACAATATTGCTTCTGTTTCTTTCAAGCAAGCTGTATCCTTCAATTGTTGTATTCCAGATCTGGTAAACTTTCCATCCAGGTCTCCATTATATCTATTAGATCGTACTGTATTTACTTCTCTGTACTAATAATTAAAATTCAGCTTGTTTACTTTTCTTACTCTGAGCATAAGAGTATAGTTACTGAAGACCATGTACTTTGTGAAAAGGGATTTCCGCCCCCCCGTGTTGTTTTTTTAAATAGACCTCTTTCAGCACACCCACTTTCTGAATTATGGAAGTTTTAAATCTGAGATCTATACTTCAGGAGATTTGTTCCTGTCCCTGAAGGATTTCACTTAAAGCCTTCCCAATCAAATTCTCCATGCTTTCACCAAACATATTTTACCATACCTTGTGAGACATAATCCAATCATGCATGGTTGGTTTATAATTCCAGTAGTCCATCATCTACATAACACATTTAATGATTTCAGAAAGTAGATATTTCCTGTTTGCATACTAAATATTGATTTTCAGTAAAACTGGCAAAAATGTTTAGTAATCTGTCTGTCAAATGCTGGAAATGCAATCAGATCCCAGGTACTTACTATCATACGTGGTGGTCTTACATGAAAGCAAGAAAATATTGGAAGAAAATACATACCTGGTTGGAAAAAAATGATTAAGCAAAGTATAGACCTGAAATCAGAAGTATTTTTGTTGGGTATAATGCCGGAGGGTTATGATAAAGGGACTACATATTGAGTTTTGCATGTACTGACAGCAGCAAGGATTGTATTTGCAAAATACTGGAAAAATGAGAATACTCCACCAGATGAGGATGTAATTTGGAAAATGTTAGATTGTGCTGAGATGGGCAGACTGACTTTAAAAATAAAAGACAAAGAAGACACAGAATATTACTTGATACGGAATAGATTTTATGAGTGATTAGCTGTACCCGGCCACGCATTGCTGTGGCCCAGTCTGGTGCTTCCGCTGGGCTAAAAGAGCAAGGCTGAAGTTCCAAACTCTCCACGAACATTTGGTGGGCGTGGCCAACTCGACGTCACTCACTTTCATCAGTTACATGACAGCCCCCGAGCCACGCCTGCCCAGCTGGTGATTAGGGCAGAGAACCGGTTGCTAAAAAACAATGGGAACCACAAAATCCTCCCTCTCTGTCTCCCCCTCTTTGTATCTCTCTATCTCTCTCTCTCTCTCCCCCCTCGGTATCTCTCTATGTCTCTCTCTCTCTCCCCCCTCTGTATCTCTCTATGTGTGTCTCTCTCCCCCTCTCTCTGTATCTCTGTGTCTCTCTCTCCCTGCTCTCTGTATCTCTCTCTGTCTCTCTCTCTCGTCCCCTCTGTATCTATCTCCCCCCTGTATCTCTCTATGTGTCTCTCTCTCCCCCTCTCTATCTCTCTATGTCTCTCTCCCCCCTCTGTATCCCTCTGTCTCTCTCTCTCTCTTTCTCTCTCCCCCTCTGTATCTCTCTATGTCTCTCTCTCTCCCCCTCTCTCTTTTTTTTTTTTTATTGCAAAAGTTTTACAATTACATTTTCACCCCTTTTTTCACCCCCCCACCTCCCTCCCCAAACTTCCCATCCTCCCTAACCCTCCCTAACCCTCCCCCCCCAGACTTCCCTATTATGTACTCATAACTAATAACACTGATATATAAACCTGAACCCATCCCTCCCCCTATATAATTTTTCCTCTTTGTCTCTTTACATTAAGATATTTCTAATACATTATTTTCAAATAAAAGCTATTTGATACTTTCTAGTTTGGTATTTGTTCTGAACATACTCTATCCACCTTTTCCATTCCCATTCATAAGTCTCTTGTGAACAATCTTTTAAATATGCTGAGATCTTCGCCATCTCTGCAAAACTTGCCATCTTCAAAGTCCATTCCTCGATAGTAGGCAAAACTTCATTCTTCCAATATTTACCTATCAACAATCTTGCTGCTGTTATCATATACAATATTAGTTTTATTTCACCCCGTGTAAAACCCTTAACTATACCCAATAAAAACAATTGTGGAGAAAATTGAATTTTTTTCTTCAAAACATTCTGCATGACCCACCATATTTTTATCCAAAAAGCCTTAACTTTCCTACAGGTCCACCAAACATGATAATACGTAGCATCCAAACATTCGCATCTCCAACATTTTGGCTGAACATTAGGGTACATACATGACAACTTTTTAGGATCTAAATGCCATCTATAAAACATTTTATAAAAATTTTCCCTCAGATTCTGCGACTGTGTAAATTTAACATTCTGAACCCAAATTTTTTCCCATGTTTCCAACATCACTGGTTCTTCAAAATTTTGTGCCCACTTAATCATACAATCTTTAACTAATTCAGTTTCTGAATCCCTTTCTAGCAAAACATTATAAAGCCTTTTAATATGCATTGGACCTTTCTCTCTTATATGTCTAACCAATTCTTCCTCATGCAACATAATACCAGTTTTTTGGTCCTCTTTCCATCTCAATTGTAATTGATTATATTGTAACCAGGTTAAATTAATCCCTTCGTCCAACAGTGTCTGCAATGTCTTCAGCTGCCATCTGCCCGCATCTGTAAAAAGAACCTCTTTGTATAAAAACCCCCCGAGTGACATTATATTTGTATTCCACAAGGTATGACCAAGATCCAGCCATAGCGGTATTTTATAATCCCATTTGAGTCGGTGCTTCTTCCAAACTCTCATCAAAGAGTCTCTAAGTATATGACTTTTAAATACTTTATCAACTTTGTCATCATAAAATAGATAAGCATGCCATCCAAATTCAAGATCAAAACTTTCTGCATTCAATATTCCAGCCTTTTTACTTCCAAACCAATCACTTGTTAAAGTTAAAGCTGCTGCATCATAATATAACTGTAGGTTTGGAAGTTTAAGGCCTCCTCTTTCTGGAACATCTTGCATAATTTTCAATTTCACTCTCGGCTTTTTCTCGTTCCAGACAAACTTATTAAGTCCAGTTTGCCAAACTTTCAATTGTTTATCACTTTTAAGCACCGGAATCATTTGAAACAAAAACAGAAATCTTGGCAAAATGTTCATCTTAACTGCTGCTATTCTTCCAAGTAAAGACAGTTGCAGCTTTTTCCAAGTCTCCATGTCTTTCTGGACCTCTCGCCACAACACCTCATAGTTATTTTGAAACAATTTCATGTTTGATTCTGCAACCTGAACTCCAAGATATTTTACCTTAGGTACAATTTCGAAACCTGCCCTCCTTTCAAGCTCATGTTTACGATCTTGTGTCATATTTTTGACTATCATTTTAGTCTTTTTTGAATTCAGTCTAAAACCTGAAACTCTACCATAGTCTTGTATAATATCGTTCATCAGGATTATTGATTCCATTGGTTGTGATAGGGTAACCACCAGATCATCTGCAAATGCCTTTATTCTATAATCCTCTTGCCTTATCATTATGCCTTTCAAAATTTTAGAGTCCCGTATTGTATTTAGCAAGACTTCCAATGTTAAAATAAATAAAAGTGGGGACAACGGACATCCCTGTCTTGTTCCTTTTTCAATTTTAAACTCTGTCGTCAAACTTCCATTAATAATAATCTGTGCTTTTTGCTCTTGATAAATTGCTGAGATCGCCTGTATAAATTGGTCCCCAAAGCCCATCTTTTTTAAAGTCTTTAGTAGAAAATTCCAATCCACTCTATCAAAGGCCTTCTCCGCATCCAAAAAAACCAGCACTGCAGAAATCTGTTTATTCTTATCAAGATATTCCAATAAATCTATTACTTGCCTTACATTGTCCTTCATATATCTGCCCTCAATAAATCCCGCTTGGTCCGCATGAATCACCTTTTGGATTACTGGCATCAACCTGTTGGCTAATACCTTCGCATAAATTTTATAGTCTGTGTTCAAAAGAGATATTGGTCTGTAATTCTCTGGTTTTTTAGGACCAACTTGTTCTTTTGGTATCAAAGATATATAAGCAGTTGTCCAAGATGGGGGTATTTTACCCCCTTGTTGAATATTGCAAAATAAATCTCTAAGTTGTCCCACCATTTCAGCTTGTAAAGTTTTGTAATACACTGCAGTCAAACCATCCGTACCAGGAGCTTTGGCTGTTTTTAGCTGTTTAATTGCTGCTGTTATCTCCTCCTCTGTTATAGGATAATTCATTCTTTCCTTTTGTTGATCAGTAATTTTTGTAACTCTCTTATCCTTTAAATATTTTTCTATAAGTCCATTCTGCACCTCTTCTTTGGCATATAGTTTAGTATAATAATCCACAAAAGCTTCTTTAATTAGTTTTTGTTGAAAGATTTCTTTCCCTCCAATATCAATACTCTCCCCCCTCTCTCTTTATCTCTCTCTGTCTCTCTCTCTCTCC